TTAAAATTCACTTATTTTCCAGAAGGTAAGGATGAAATTACAGGAGGAATTAAGGAAGGAGGATGAAAACAAATCAAAGTAGCACAGATTTAGCAGTCCCTACTGGACTGATTGATGTTTGTTGGAGGAGAACAGAGAAATCAGAAAAGAAGGTACAAAATAGATGTAATAGAAAACACAAAACTGCACTTTTGTGGATGCCACTGAGGGACTTGGAGCAAAGCAGCCTGAATATCCAAAGAACTATCCACTCTAATACACCACCATGAAGCGGGTTAGTGCTTAATAGGAGACTGATGCAGGAGACAATGCTCAGAGACCATCACTTCTGGGATGATCCAGCACTTAGAGCACTCACTGGGCCTCAGGAGACTTTGTCTCTGAGCTCCAGGGACACCGTTAGGCCAGCCATTAAGGATATTGGAAAATACTGAGGTGCCTAACTCATTCATTTCAGCAGTAGCTGTGGGCCCAAGCCTGTCTTCAAATCCTGGTCTGAGTCTCTCCTTTGGCTCAGACTCCATCCCCCTTTATGAAATGCAAGGTGACAATGTTTTTATGCCCTGTAACGGTTTTGTAAAGAAAAACACGTGAAAGCGACAGTCGGGCTCTTTCCATCATGGAGCCACGAACACAGTGAAGGGACAGTCCCACATAACACACCACGTCCCTGCAAATCCAGGCATTCCCATTGCCTTCCCTTTGAATCACAGGCCAGTGCTGTTGATAAACCTGCCGGGTGCTCTGTCCCACTCACTCCCTGTTAACATTTTAGGCACTGGGGGACAAAATGCAAGGAGTTTTGCCTCACAGGCAGTGGTTTGCTCTGGAGTAGATGTACCAACATCTCTTCACTGAGCTGGATTTAGGGCAAACCCCCAACCACACACAGCAGATTTTGAGTCCCTAGGCAAGGGAAAATGAAGAACAAATTAAATGTTCACTGCAAGCAGTTCACCAAACAAAAGAACAATAATAGTGTTTTTCTGTGATTCTTTTCATTTCTCCCAGCATAACTACACATCTTCTGGATACAATCTGTTTCTTTGCCAGGGCTTCAGCATTCTCCCCTGAATTAATGATGCTGGAAAATCTCCACTTTTCATAGACTCTGATAGTCTCTGCTGAGCAGCAGAAGGCTGCACAATACTTGCTTATGCAATGACTGGTCCTGTGCCAGGAATAATAGCCTGTCTACTAGGAACAAACAACTCACACACAAACCCAAAACACTTTTCTCATTAAATGTCTGAATTAAGTGGCATAAAAAACACTCCAAACCTACTACTCATACTGCACACTAATGTCAGCCTCCACAATGAGTTAAATAATCCCACACCCTATTCTTTGAGGAACAGTTAGCATAAGCAGAGCAGGGTGGCACTTCCTTATTCATCACCTTCAAAGTACTCTTGACCCTATCAAGAACTATTATTACAGGTCCAGGCAACAACAGGATATCCAAAGCAGCTAAAATGCAGCTTGATCTGGAAAGTGCCTTTGTCAGGATGGCAACATCAAAGAACCTTTCCTCCATTTTGACCCTCAGCTGAGAAACAAACAACTAAATCATTGACACTTTCTCATTGGCCTCAGAATTCCACCCACTGCTTCCTTACCAAATCATTGCATCACTGGGATGTCAGCCTTCCATCCTTGCTCACCTTGTACTGGCAAGAGGAAATAGGACACCTCTATTTTACAAAAAAACTCACTGTGAAGCTCAAGTGGCAAAGAGATACAGACTGGACAGTTATGCTGACAAGTCGTACTAGAAACTCACATTTCCTACTCCATTCTGCCCTTCCAGAAGAGGCAGAGGTTTTCTGAAGGGCATTGAAAAATGAACTAAAGAAAAGCACAGCTTAGGATCAAATATAAGTTAGAAACACCTGGAGAGAAGCACTGCACATGTAGGGGATGAAAGCACCTGATCAGTGAGGAAAGGTCCTACAGTTCTGTGCAAAGCAATTTTTTCAGGTGATACCTTCTCTAACTATTTATCTCTTCTCTGCTGTTATTCCCTGGTTTTGAACCAGAACACAAGTTTGGTTTTGACTCTGGAAGACTGGACGAAACTACCTGCACTTCTCCACACACCATTTTGCATGGCTGCAGTGTAGGTTGTCTGTGCCACATGAGTCCTTCAAAGGCATCTACACTGATGTTATCGAAGGGGCAAGTTCATGACAAAGCTCTAGGCCAGTACTTGTCTCTCTCTCTGTTAAAAACAGGAAGCTACAGAGAGCCCTGGACCCACTGAACAGGAAGAGATTTACAAGCCCACACACAAAGGCAATGGCAAAGAATGATAAGAAATGCTGCAATCTGTGACAAAAAAAAAAAGGGTGGCAAACAAGTGCAGATGTTAAAAACAGACAGCTGCATCTCTCCCTGGTATCCACTGTCCCAGAGAACAGATTGCTTAAGTTACTGAAGTGAGGAATCTGCACAATCTGCCTAAGTGCACATACCCAATTATCCAAGTACCAAGGAAACAAACAGCATCAACAGCTGGAATAACCCAGCTGTGCACGAAGCCAGCACTCTGGGAACACTGAAGAAGAAAGAAAATAAGCGGAGTACTTTCATGCTAGAGTTTGTAATAGCACTGAGTTTACGGTTTTTATAGCAGGGACCACATTTCTTGCATTTTTTCCCTCCAGAGGGTTCTGGTTTCTCGAGCTTCATTCTCTTCCCGACAGAGCCATCTAGTGGGTGAGACCTCGTTCGTCAGAAGGAAATTTTGATTTATCACACTCTAAGTGTAACACACACATTGCAGGAAGGATCTTCAAAGAAGCCCGTAACCAACTACAGTTCCAGTCAGTCTAGCCAGAAATTGTGATACGTTTGTATCACAAACTGGGACTTAAATTCCTACCAGTGTGAAATTTAAAAAATTCTAACACTAAATTCACAGTATCTTTCTGAACAGTTTGTCCCAGACTCAGCCTCAACCTGAAGTCATAGTGCAAAGCCTTTTGTTTATGCAAAATCCAGTATTTTCTTCAAAGCTGATATGGATTAGAGATGTTACATGTTTTAAATAAAGCTTAAAAGCTAAGGCAAAAAAAGTTTTCAGAAAAACTCTTCTGGTTGGGAAAAAAGTTTTAAATAAAGTTTCCTTGCTGTGTGTTCAGTGGACAGTCACAAATACAGAGGGTGATATAGCAGCATCTCTGTTACTCTCTGAAACAGCTGCTCTCCGAAATTTGTGGCTGTCCCCTGCCCTCAGAGCTGCTAAAAGCCACACCTACTGTTCCAGAGAGGAGAGAATGGCACCTTGGCATTGCACAGGAAGGATAAAGAGGGACTTTAAAACAGGTGAGCCAATCATCAGTAGTGGAAACAGTCCCCAACAAACCTGCTACTGCCAGGCAGCTTTAATTTGCTCAAATAGCATTTAACTATTATTCTCTTTAGGGTTCCCCTGGGTGTTTCCAAGCCTTTTGTCATTTCAGTAGCTGCCTGTGGCCAAAACATGGTGCCATTTTGCCCCGCCCTCTGCAAAAGCTTCCACCTATCCTTCAGGACAGACTACAGGCTATTTAACAGGCAGGAGGAAACAGTGAGACACAAAGCCAATGGGCCAGATTTGAAGCCTTGCCAAAATGCTGAATCTCTTCAAAAAAATACTTTTAGTCAAGTCCCCCCATCTATGGCTTACTTCCTTTTCCACATATTAACAGTTCTTTTTGGAGGCTTTACAGAAAAAGGAAGCAGAGCTCTGAGGGCTGGGAAGTACCCAATAGTCCCAGCATGAAAAGATGCTGCAATCCTCCCTGTTAGTCTCCTTGAGAGGTTACAGGGAGACCCAATAGAAGCCAGACCCAAAGGAGTTCTGGCAAAGGGATTCCTCTGCTCAAACTGCAAGTAGTGTCATGTGTCTCCTGTTACTGAACAAGGTAAGGGTAACTTCCTTAGTCCCTCACTGTACATCAGCCGTGGCCAGGATAACACCCTTTCAGCAGAACAGCTTGACAGCCCTCAACAGGCACACTCTCCATCCTATACCAGTTTATATTTAGGACAATTAACTGTACTAACCAAGCTCAGGTTTCTATTGGGTGCTTGCTTTCCAAGTCAGCTCTAGCTGCTGAAGCAGCATCCTATCAAACCTTGCAGCAGATACAATTCAAGTTACACAGAAAGTAAACTAGTCTCATATCAGTCCATGTCTGCCTGCTAACACAGTGTAACTCCACTGTACAAAATTACAACGCAATCATAAGCCTGGTTATTAAAAGCAGCAAAACCCAGTTAAAAGACTGCAAATGAAAGACATCTATTTCAAACAGCTATACTGCTGCTCTCATATACCACCATACAGCAACAAAGGCAGGGATGTCAGCAGAAATATCTGTTCTTACCAAACCATTTACAGAAATCCCAGGCATTAGGTTGGGATACCACAGACAGTCCAATTCTTACCATGAAACTCATGGTGCAGCTACAGAATGGAATTCTTTTCTCCTCTGTATGTTAAAAAATGTCAGTCTTAGGGGGCATCTAGTACAGAGACTCAAAACAGACTCATGCTTCATGTTAAGATGGTCTTTCTCAAAAGTCTTGCAACATCCAGAAGCATCTACCTGGGCATGGGGAAGAAATCCTGTGACAGTGTCTTCTCTCCACAGTAAGAGCTAGAATCACTAGCTGTTAAAGAACTGCCAACAGAATCAAGAGTTATTACTACCAGTGATTAGAAAGGTTGTAGTTTGCACACAGACCAGGGCAGTCTCACACAGAGTGAAATGACCTGATCAACAAGTATCGCTCATGATCCTCTTCTGAGTGACAGCTGATTTGAAGAATGACAGTTCCACAAGGAAGGGTTTAGTAGCATTACTAAAGCCTCAAATTGCTCATTCTAAGTTGGAAATACCATCTTCAGGAAAGCATTACAGCTACACAAACGTGACTCACGCGCCACGTTTTGAAGCAGGGCTTTGTGAAAACTGTCTTGTCTTTTGGACACATTCCCATGAGGCATAAGATGACAATACAATGCTTTTTTAATTTAAGCTTCAACACGTGCTAAGGAGGTTTCCAATGCAAATATTTAGGATCACTACTACCCAGAAGAACAAGTAGCAGGGTTTTTCCTAGTGGTTTGAGACCAAATACAGCTTTATTTACACACAATTCAAACAAATCAATACATTAGTTCAACTTTCCTCTCTGCACACAAGGGAGAGCCTTCACAGCATCAGAGCAGAAAAGCATGACTAGCTCTTTCCTGTGTGTACAGACTCATAGCTGATTGTATGCAAGTATGTGATTAGATACAGAACTGTTACATTTAAACATTTCAACCATTTAAGTCAGTAAGAACAACCACACTACACTTTCAGCAGAATAAAATAAAGTTAGAACTACACTTGGCTTCCTGCAGATCAGCTGATTATCTACATGACTGTGTAGAGATGTTAAGACCAAGAGCTGAAGGCGATGATGAGTTTTATTCAAAACGTAAACATTTTTATGGAGTTGTGTTTAACGGATAATCATTTGTAAGACTTTCCCTATACACCTGCACTACCTTTCAAATTTACAAAGCATTTCAAATTTATCCTGGAAAATGCCCATTTTATATTCTGTCTTCCCAGACAGAGGGAAAAACTGCTGAGAGAGTTAGATTTTTTCACTGCAAGGATAGACTCAGGCTATCAAAATTGTGTTCCTAATGAAAAATTCCCCCCGTATCCAAAGACAAAACTAAGAAATGCAAGAATACAAGCTCAATATACAGATCTGAATGGACCTCTATCCATTGTAGTCCATATAAAGCAAAAGAATACAGTGCTTTGCTTCTCAGGAAGCTGCCTCTATTTTGCTCTATTTTCCATAAATGCAGCTGCTAGTAAGACTTTAAAGCGTATGACTTAGAAATTCTTCATTAAGAATGTCTTCTAATTCTTTTGAGAATAAATGACAACAGGATTAAACAAGAAAAAGGAAAAATAATTATCTTTAAAAATCAATGCATCACACAAAGTGGTCAAACCTAAAGTTCACTATTCTCCAGGCAAAGTTGGCTTAAGTTTGAAATTAACCTACAGTGTGTTTGCCCAAGAATTGCCCTATAAGGTAAGAGCAGACAAGTTTTTGTCAGAAACATTTATTAAACAAAACTGAAACCAATGCACACACAGTCAAGTTAACACCCCTAATAAAAAAAAAGCATGTCTGTCAAGACCAAAATTATCTTCGCTTCTGGAAGATGTTGCCACGGCCCATCCCACGGCCTCTTCCTCTTGCAGCCACTGAAGAAATAAAACATCAGAGATGACATGAATTTGACATACCTGCATATTTATCTCAACAGCTGACAAGCAAAACCTAAACAACAAAGTCTCTTGCTCAGAAGGAAGGAAAACAGGCTGCCCTATGACACTCAGAAAGTGATGTGATAGCAAGAAGCTTTCTGTGAGAAGAACCAGAACTAATGGTCCCACTCTGGCTCTTTGGAAGAGCTGCAGTGAATACTCATACATCTCCTGTTCCTTCTAAGCTGATACACAAATTTGTGTAGCCCAAGAGATTTAAAACTCCACACTCTTCCAAGGTTTTGCAACAGAACTCAGTATGTTTCAGCAGATGTTATCCCCCCATGTAACCTTACTGCATTTGCTAATTTTAACCAAAGACTTTGTGGCACATGATTGTTACTCAGTCTTGTTATAACTGGATTGTTCCCTTGAGAAAGGTACAAATGAGGGTGAGCTACAGAAAGGCTAATAATTACAGCTTCTCAGCAGTTTAAGTACCATCTTTATAACTGAAACTGTTTTCCTACAAAAGCTTAACAAGAAAACCTGAATCCTTCCCTAAGTATTCCACAATTGCTGGAAAACAGAAAACTAAGTTTAACAGAAAGCCTTTGTTTGACAAGACCACTCAATACCTCTGAATTATTGTGGCATCAATATAACACATTCAGGTAATTGGACAATTTGTCTTGATTCCCACCATAAGATGAAGCACACAAGAAAACTGTACGAATCAGTAATTTTTCCTTTTCTTACAGCCTACATCTTCTCAGTGGTAGAGATGAGTTTTCCAGTTCTTAGGAAGAATGGGGGAGGGACCACGAACAAACTGTACGCACCTTGAGCTTTGAGAATAGCTGCTTTTCCTCGCCCAGCTCCAGAACCCTGGTTTTTGTTCTTCATGCTCTTCAGCATAGGAGCATTTTTCAACATGTCTGGTAAGATGAGAAACCGTATCTTGCTACCCCTGATGTACACCTGTTCGAGCTGTGCCACTCTGCCATCTCTGTATGTCACTGTTATGTTGGACATCTGGAAGGTAAAAACCAGTCAGTGCTCACACAGGCCTCACCTGTGACACGAGGCATCCACGGCCATTCAAACTCCAGGCCTGCTGCCCAAGACTTTGGCTTTCTCCCCATTTTACAAATTAGTTTTATCAGCTTTGTTACTTTTGTTTTCTCATATTCAATCAGGTTTAATAAAGGTGCTCTAGTCCTAACTATTAAAAAAGTATTTTGATTTCAGCAGTGACTTGGTAACACTCAGTAAATAAGCTTCAGTTTCTTAAATCAAGGTTTATTTATTCTTATGCTCAGTGGCTTTTAATAAAGAACTCCAGAAAAATATTGTCCTCAGAACAGAATCTTAAATCCTTGATCTTACTGACAGGAACGCCCAAGCTGACTCTAGAACTGGAAAGAATAAACTCTGGCCTCTTTGGAGCACTCTGTAATGCTGAATCCATTTCACTATGGTTAAGAAGCAGCAGTACAGTTTTCTAAAAGCAACAGCCTTTTAATCAGGCTATCAGCCTTCCCAGGCCCAGATCAGCCAGCCTTCCCTCCATCCATCCTCGTGGGACCTGTATACCTGACAATTCATGTTGTCCTCAGCTTCAATAAGTTTGCCTCGGTAAACTTCTCCTGTGTTGGTCTCACAGGTGACGATGTGGCCCTCGGCCTCATGCAGGACCTTGATTGGCACCCCAATCGACATGGCTGCAGTGCTGTGGCTCTACTCCTGACACAAGAAGAAAACAAAAGCCGTTATGACAAAGAAAGTCGTAGACAAGGCTTCACCTACACAACCCAGGATCTTCCCCAGTGTACAGCACCGATTTTCTCACTTGTCCAAACACACCGTATGCTTTGACTATGCATCCATAAAACTCCTCTAGGGAGGTGCCCACGGAAGGAAAGACTTTAAATACCAGAAGCCCATCTTTCCCAGGTCTCTTCTGACCTAGGAAAATCACTTTTAAGTATCAGACAACGAACCACTGGTATCGCCAGGTGCACCTCAACGGGAACAGCCTCAGGTGCATCCCATAACGACACAACCAGACTGAGGGGCTGCGAGACCCCCGGGGACCGCATCGCCCGAGTACCGAGCCGGGCCGTGAGGGAGCCCAGCCTAGCCCAGCCACTCACCCACCTACCCACACACACACACACACACACACCGCCGCCCCGGCCCGGCCCCCTCAGGCCCCGCGGGCCGCAGGGGATGCGGCGCCGCTCGGGCGCGTCCCCACAGCGCCCCGGGAGCGAGGAGGCCCCCGGGACACGCCGGGGGCGCCGCCCGGGGCCGCCCCACCGCCCTCCCCGCACTCACCGCCCGCCGCTCCGCTGCACGCCGCCCGCGCTCTCCCCTAATGGCCTCCGCCGCCTCCCGCCCTGCTCCGCGCGCCGGAACCGGAACGCGGCGCTGGGGGCGGCCCCGTCCCGTCCGGCCCCGTCCCGTCCTCTCCCGCTCGGGGCCGCCCCGCGGTGCCCGTGCCCGGGGAGGGGCTGCGCGCCCCCCGCCCGCCGTGTCATGCCCCTGCCCGCCCGCGCACCCTCTCACCGCCGCCCTCCGCCTCTCCGCCGCCACGGCGCGGGGCAGCCGCCCCGGGGCCCGGCCCCCCGCAGCCCCCGCCTCCGGGAGGAGCCAGCGCCGGGCCCCGGGGCCGCGCCGCCGGCTCGGCGGGGCCGGCACTGAGCGGGCGGCGGGTGCCGCCGCCATGAAGAGCCCCCGGGAGGCCGGGGGGCCGCCGCCAGGTCAGTGCGGCCCTGCTCGGGCCGGCGGGGGGGACAGCGCGGTCCGGAGCGCCCGCGGAACGGGCCGAGGAGGGGACCCGGGCAGGGGACCCGGGCAGCTCCTGCCGGCCCCAGCTCCGCCCTGCCCGCTTCGGCAGCCGCGATGTTGGAATTACCCGCTCCGCGGGTACGGGGGCTGCACAGGGGCGCGGGCAAAGCGCAGGGGGGCTCGCGGCGCGATTCGCAGCCACGGCTCGTACCTGATCCCGGGACAGCCACCGCCGGACAGCTCGGGGTGTGTTGGGAACAGGTGACTGGAAGCGGGACGGCCAGGAAGAGTAGTTGTTGCTCCGTGAAGCCTTCACGTAGAAAACACGTACCTCGCGGTTAATTTGGGGACTTGACAGAGGCCCTGGGTGTTAACAAAAAGGGGACAAGTTCATAACACGCCAAGAAAAAAGGGTGACAAAATATTTAACAGGTCTTGTTTGAGTAGAATCTGGGAATTGGGTTTTCTTTTTTTTTTTTTTTTGGTCAGGATACTTAGGAGCACTTCAAGCTACATTAATTAAAAAAAATGAATATACCGATGGGTGTGCCCATCTTCAAAGTCATGATTAAACAGGGGCAGAGCTAGGAAAAAATATTTGGAAATAGTCCAGAATCTCTGCATTAGCTCATCCCTGCAGTGGGTTATAGCTTTGTTTAATATCAGATTACAAATAACATGATCTAAAAAGTTTTATAAATAAAATTACATCAAAACTGGACCATGATGTCTAATGCATTTTTACTCCCATCATAAACTGTATGTGACCTTGTGTTAGAAAAACTTCTCAGAGGTCTTTCTGGATGAAAGATCTTTATGATTGTATACTTATGATTAACTCACCTTGGTCGACACTGAAGTAGCAGTGACAGGCACAGCTCTTCACAATCCTTCCAGTGGTGAGGGTGTTCCTGAAACTGAAACTACCACCTTGCCAGCTCCATAAAAATAAAAACTGAGGCAGAGGGATGGAGCTACTTGTATTCTGAGACTTTTTGGTAGAGATTATTCTTTTTCCCTCTCCACTGAATTTTTGAGGCAGTTAATACAAAAGGACAACTGGTGCCACTTGTGAGCTCTGTGAGTTTTTTTAAAATTGTGAATTACAGCCCCAAGGAAAAAGACGTGTAGAATGTGGGGCTTGCAAGAGATCCATGCCCAGAGCTGTTAGTTATGTCTGTTTTCTCACAGTTTGGTTTAACTCCTCTCTTGTGGCACAAAAATACATTCAGACACAAAAGAAAGGATGAATACCTGTGCCTTACCTACTGTTATGCTTCACAGCTGAGGGCTCACAGGTACGTTGTCCCACCAAAAAGAGTAAAATGAAACTTCCAGAGGAAAAAGGGGTGGAAATGCAGAGTGATCCAGGTATGGAGCAATAAAGGAGTACGAGATTAAATGCTTAACTGTACAGAAATACTAAATGTACATTCCCCCAAGAAATAAAAAAACCCTACCTGCCCATCAGATAAAGTAAAAACATATTTCTAAGTTTTCGTGACTACAGTGCTGAGGACAAGCTGACTTTTAATGGTATGGAAACACATTCCTGTATGGATTGACATCCTTCGTGTTTTACTCACACAGTTGACTGCATCCAGCTGAAAGTGCCAGTGATTCAGCAGCTGTACCACTGGGACTGTGGGCTGGCCTGCTCCAGGATGGTGCTTCAGTAAGTGGCTCTCTCAGTGAGGGAAAACCCATTCCGTGGGGAGGGGTAGCAGGAAGCAACATCCAGGGAGAAGAGGTGTGTTGAACAGCTCTGAGTTTAACTTAGTCTGAGGAGAGCAAGATTTTCTGAGGTGCCCTTGGAGAGTGACTGCTGCTTGGGCCTGGCACAGCTTTCCAGCAGGAGCAAGGGAAAATACAGACTGAAGTGAACTTTGGACTCTTTTGAATAATTGCCTGCTTTGACAGATGCAGAATACCTGATCAGCTCTATGAACTTTGCAGGCTGGCATGCATAAGCTCATAGAAGGTGTTCCCTCTTTCCCGTTGTGATTCAGAACTGATCCTTAGCACAGTGATTCATCTGATTCCTTTCTGTGTTTTCACGTGATGGGCAGGTGTATCCCAGTTTATGAGTGTACTGTACCTGTACTACCTCTGTCCTGCTGAGCTGTGGGATGAGTGTGTCTGTTCCAGGAGTAGTTTCAGCTTCAAAACTGTGTTGCCCTTTGGTGGTTCTTTTTTTGTTTTAGTTTTGGTTTTACTTTTTTTGAACTAGTAGCTGTCCTGCTGAACTCCTCTTTCCTTCCACAGAGGAACATGAGCTTAGGTGCAGGAGAAATACCTATTTAGATGTCCACTTAGTAGATATGAAGCAGAAGATTTTCATTTCTCTCCATCCCTTCTGCCAAGACGTTAGTCCGTGTGCTGGTAATTTCCCATCTTGACTACTGTAACCTCTATTCCCTTTACCTCTCTGCCACTCCAGTCTGCCCAAAACTCAGCTTCCAAGATTAATCTTCTCACCCTGCTGATCTGACCTTGTTTGCCCTGCATTCTCAATTCCAGTCCTTTTTTTTTTTATTTCCATTTACTTCCATTTGTTTTCTTACTTTCAGAACTCTGTAACTGCCTCTCCTGACCCCTTTGCAACCCGTCCCAAGCTTCCTCCTGACTTCATCTCCCCTTTCTTGCCTTTTGTGTCATCAATGCCTAAGACAAGCTTCCTTTGAATATTTACTGAATTCCTTTACGGTTCCTACTGAATTCCTTTATGGTTCCTCCTTTTGAAATCCATGTATTGCGTGAAGGAAGTTTTAGTCTTTTAACACTTCTTTCTGTGTTGGCTCTAATACTACACTTGTACATTCAGACTGTAAACCCTTCAGGACAGAGTTCTATACCAGCTTGCCTCTGGTACAGCACCTGTACACTTCTAGTACTATAAAACAGTCAAGGTACCCACACATTTCCAATTTTAAAGTCAGCAATAAATCCAGTTAAATATTCCCTACTCCCTTCCCTTAAATTTCTGGCTCCTTTGTGGATTGTTTTTTTATTTTGGTTATTTCTTAGCCAAGCCCATTGTTTCAGTTTGTATGTGCTGTGATGTGGAGGCTTGGGCTACACCACCCACTTTGCTTCTCCTAAGATCTGTGCTTCCTTTCCCCTGCCTTTCTTAATGCCATAGGTACCTGAATCACTTGGACAATGACGAGTTTCAGAAAGCCATCCAGGAACTCCAGTTAACAAAGAGTATCTGGACTATTGACCTGGCCTACCTAATGCGGCACTTTGGTGTTAAGCATAAATTTTGCACCCAGACACTTGGAGTGGACAAGGGCTACAAAAATCAGGTCAGTATTCTCATCTGCTGGGGGAGGGCAGGCAGCTTTCAAAGCCTTGAGTGTCACGCTGTGAAAGCTCTGCTGTGTTACTGACAGTCAACCACAGTTAATCAGGCCTATTGCCAGAACTGGCACAAATCCATTCCAAAGGCAGTGTGACCTCACATATTCAACATCTTTGATTCCATCATATGAGTTTTTAAAAAGTTTTCAGGTAGTGTTCATGAAAGGTTCCAGCCTATTTGACAGCCTTGGAGGCTGAAGCCCTGTATTTATTTACAGAACAGGTATAGCCTGGGCAGCAGCAGTGTTACCTTCCACACTCTCCCCACTGTGCCTCAGCCCTGACCTGCAAGATCCACCTCTAGAGGTGAGAGGGGAACTCAGCCTCCTGTCCATTGGGAGCTTGGCCTCTGCAGGGCTGCCAACAAGGGGCCAAGGAAGGCCTGCAGCAGCTCCTGCCCAGTTTTCCCCAGGGAAAATAGACAGGCTTGTCTCATATAGGCAGCTGAGTAGCCCCTGGATGGAAACTGCAACAATAACTGACCAGGAGCAAATTTAAACTTGTAATTCAGAGCAGGAATCCTTGTCCTGTTACCAGGGAATTAAGGGAGAGATCTTTTATCCCATAGCCAGATATCCAACTTAGGCAGGCCCTTGCTAGCCAGAGGCTGTAAGTTGTGGATTACCTAAGGTAAACATCATTCCAGTTCAGAACTTCTATTATCTCCACAGTCATTTTACAGGAAGCACTTTGACACAGAGGAGAATCGAGTGAATCAGCTCTTTGCACAGGCCAGAGACTGCAAGGTGCTGGTGGAGAAGTGGTAAGCTTACTCTTTTCCTTCCTTTCTCCCTGGACATTCTGTGGGCCCCAAGCTTTTCTTGGAGGCAACAAGCTAAACTGCTGAGAGACACTCACTGAAATCAAGCCCTGAGCGCTTTTTTGTGAACTAAGAGTCTTTCTACTACATCTAGGTCAAAAAAACCCCCATGGACATCAAGAGCTAATAATGAAGTTTGAGAAAAAACAGTCATGACACAGAAGAAGGGATTTGAAAATGCTGACAGGAGTTGACTCTTTATGTTTTGAATTTGATTATCCATTACAATTAGCCAGTAGGGAGTGCCTACAGCACTCTAATTGGCCATTGTTGGAATTACAGAGAGTGCTATGTGGGCACAGAACCCACTGTTCCCAGAGCTATGCAAACATTATAGATCTCTGTTCCTAGACAGACATGCAAAGTACAAACTAGCATACAAGCTTTTGCCAAGGGGACCGTGAAATAAGGAACATCAATTAAAG